ACGCATTGAAACTAAAAAACTGCGCCACTCTAGCTGGCCTTGCACATGGGACCAGTAGCAGGTCCTGGCTTTCAGCATCCTATCTTCCAACCTGAATTTGGCTTCCAGGATCTCATGCCTACCAGCATATCCTTGGAGTATCCTAAGAAAGGCTCCTCGTTCTTCCCAGCTACAGAAAAACCAGCTTCTGTATCCTTCACTGGTTATGCTCAAATTGCTTCTCTTCCACCATCACCACTCCTGACTAGTCAATTAAACAGTATAAAAACCTAAAGATAGAATTATCTCCACACCCTCAAAACAAAAGCAATTATGATTTGACCCATGGGTCCACTAATTAAAATTTGGCACCACAGATTAACTAACTGATTTTTTTGTTTATCGGTTTACTGCTTAAAGGTTGCTGCTCTATTTCATATATTGCCCCCCCCCCCCAGATCTCCTTGGGGAAAAACAGCATGATAATACAAGCAGTGCTTGAGGTCAAGATCAACATTATACCATGTCCCTATCATGCATGTCTTTGTAGGGGAGGAAAGTGTAATAAACACACACTTATTTTCCAGAGTGTAGGTGTTTGATTCCCTCTGCTGGGTGAAAATCAGACCTGCAGCACTATTCTGAATAATCCAGTACAGTATCATACAAAGGACTTTGTCTTTGGAGTAAAAGCTTTGTTTGCAGTCGCAACGTTGGTAAAATGCCCATTGTTGTTGTGTGTGGAGTGTGTATGGGAGGAGGCCTTGTCTATGGTGAGGACCACTTGGATGGCGTGATGTGTACATCTGCATGTTTTGAATACAGGAACATGATCCACCCTGACAGTGTTAGATGGGGTGGAGAGCAGCTTTGGTCCCCACACTTAAAGTATTCCCAGGTCAATGGAGAGGAAAGTTATGGGTTAATTTGAATCCATAGTCCCACACCCCAAACCCCCAATAATTTTAGCCAATGCATCTCCTTCTGGCTGCATTCAGACAGCACATTATTTTGATGTTTCATTACCTGATCATCTCTTTCACATAACATAAAAGCCATTTCTGGAATTTTAGTGGTGTCTAGTGGATGTCTAGCATTTCTTTCTGTTTTTATTGTTCCCAGGAAAAAAATATTTTCGCAACCCCGTTAAACTTGGAAAAATCACTGGAAGAGGAGTTATAATGAAATTTGGGGCAGTATCTCAGTCTGCAGTTCTTTCTTGCCATTTAAAATTTAGTGCAACCATATCAATAAAGAAAGCTGCAGTTCCATTGCTCAACAGGTACTGCCGTGTAAAAGAAATGTTTGGAATCCACATAGAAGTGTTAGTATTATAAAATTTTAGTGGAGATCACAAAAACAAGAGCTAAAGCTACTCTCTGCTCCCTGAGTGGTCAATTTCTTTCTTGGCCATTCAAGAGGGATGCTGAAAGTTGGCATTTTTAGATACATAAGACTATAATGGGGTAACTTGGCTAATTTTCTAAAGAATACATGCATCCCACCTTCTTGTTCAAAACTCAGATGGCTCAAAGTGGCTAATAAATTGACCAATAAGGCAATCACAAAAAAATACACAACCAGACAAACAGTTTTCTAAATCACGGGCTCCTTCCATCCCCCATAAAGTATTGAATAAATGCTTACTATTGTACCCACTAATAGAAGCATTCTTTGGGGGAAGCTATAACTGTTTAAAGGGATGCGGGTGGCGCTGTGGGTAAAACCTCAGTGCCTAGGACTTGCCGATCGCATGGTCAGCGGTTCGAATCCCCGTGGTGGGGTGCGCTCCCGTCGTTCGGTCCCAGCGCCTGCCAACCTAGCAGTTCGAAAGCACCCTCGGGTGCAAGTAGCTAAATAGGGACCGCTTACCAGCGGGAAGGTAAACGGCGTTCCGTGTGCTGCGCTGGCTCACCAGATGCAGCTTGTCATGCTGGCCACGTGACCCGGAAGTGTCTGCGGACAGCGCTGGCTCCCGGCCTATAGAGTGAGATGAGAGCACAACCCTAGAGTCTGGCAAGACTGGCCCGTACGGGCAGGGGTACCTTTACCTTTAATAGAAGTTGTAGCAACTATTGGTTTGCTTATAGTTTTGTATCACTTGTATGGTGATAGCACAGGACCAGTAACATTTTACAAAACTAAGAACAAAGTAGAAATAGTCGACTATTGTATGCTGCAAACACCCACCATCACATAATCTAGCCACTATCTTGCCCAGCTTTACCCCAGAATCTCTCAAGTGAAGAGTGGGAAAGAAAAAAAATGACAGCAATAGGTTCATAACCTTCTAGGAAAAAGAATAAAATTGAAAGAACCAGTCATCCTAAATGAGGAAAACTGCTTGGCTTTATTTCTTGGGAGTATTAGGGAAAGGACAAACTCATCTTGAGAAACATAAATCTTAGAGCTGGACATCCCAAGTTGTTATAAAAGAAAAGCATGCTGCAAACTGTTTGGATTGTTTTGCTTTTCCACCTACTAGCTCTTAAACTATTTTTTGTGCCCATGAAACTTGTACATTAATAGCTTTTGAGGCGAGAATCCTCTTTATAGCCGTATATATTTAGAAGTGTAGGTATTTTCACTCATTGCTATTATCCAGTGTTTCCCCATTTTTATGTGGGAACGCCTGCTTTGAGGACAAGAAGGGCATGTAATAAAATATCTCAGTATGTTTATTGTTTACTGTAAGTAATAGAACTGTCAGTGCTGTACTCAACTGTTGGTACTTTCCTGCCAAGAAATGGGAGAAGACGGGTCATTTTATATTGGTAAAGAAGGCATGACATTTCTGAGACTACTGTTTCTCTCTGGCCACATGCACCCTTCCAGCTGCAGTGCCATGAGTTGAATTGAGTATGTGCAGGCTGATGTCACAGACAGAACTTCGCCTAGATTGCTTTTCAGTTTCCAACCACAACCGCAGCCTTTTGAGCAATTAATATTGAAAGTCAAATTTGAACTCTACATAAAGTAAAAGTTGCCCCCAAACTTAGTCATGGAGACTTTAAGAGAGGCCTTATAGAGAGTGTGAAACATTATGAGGAGGACCAAAATGACCTGGTGTGTCTATTGTGGAGAAAAGCAAGTACTGCTCTGTTAGTCACTGTAATGTCACCAACTTTTGGGTTGTAAAGCACCCAAGTATCAGGCCCTAGCTGCACTATATATTTAAAGCAGTATCATACCACTCTAAACAGCCATGGCTTCCTGCAATGAATCCTGGGAAGGTGTAGTTTGCTAAAGGGGCTAAGAGTTGCTAGGCCATCCATATTCAGCTCACAGAGCTACAAATTTGCAGAGTTCCCTGGTTAGAGGGATTGACTGACTACTCTGGGGGGTTGTTTCTGAAAGTTCTGTCCTTCAACAGCCAGATTGAATTTTGGAAACAGCAGTATGTCTTTGCAAGCATTCATTTTAGAAGATTCAGAAAGCATAAAATTGCCATGAACTGGTTATAACAACAACAAAAATGGAAAGGGTGCAAGATGGCAGGTGCTGCTTCCAACAGAACTAATAAAACTGGTCAGGTACCAGACCTAAATTGAAGCATGGAGCCAGCCCCTTCCAGCCTGAAGCAGCTGTTTGAGCAAGCCCAAAGTCCTGCAGGCAGATTTTGGAAATAACTCCCACTGTAGAAGGGAAAAGTCTGATATAGCACCCACCCTCTGCTGCAGAATATAGAGTAAATAAATTAGCAGAGCACAGTAAATTGGCTTGGTTATGATTTAAAGATTATACAGTTTTTTACTTCATGAAATGTTAAGCCTATTCCCTTTATAGCAGGCACAGGCAAACTCAGCCCTCCAGATGTTTTGAAACTACAATTCCCATCATCCCTGACCGCTGCTCCTGTTAGCTAGGGATGATGGGAGTTGTAGTCCCAAAACAACTGGAGGGCCAAGTTTACCTATGTCTACTTTATAGCTCTCTCTCTCTCTCTCTCTCTCTCTCTCTCTCTCTCTGCTAGACAGGTTCTGCATTCCTGGTTAGGAATGGAGGAAGAATTCAATTCCGTTCACATTTCAAGGCAAATCCACCTAATTCACACTTTTTGAAACAATATGAGAACCCAAACACAGCCATCCTGTGAAATTTGCACTTCTCCGAATTTTGCAATGCAGTTCTCCAGCCAAGTAATGTGTCCAAGAATATATATGCTAGTGTATAAAAATGCATATATCAGTGAAAATAGCATACAGAATGCATTATATTAGGCAAAATTGCTGTGCAAAAATGTGTATATTAGGCAAAATTGCGTACAAGCTTGGGTATATTCAGAGAAATAATTCACACTTCAAATGCTGATAATTTTCCATGAGTACTTTAAAAAAAATCACAAGCTGCTATGGAAATGTAGAGCACTGGATTTAAGACTGGAAAAATGAGAAACTGAGCAAAACTGAAATTGACAGATTTACCCATTCCTACTTCTCTTTTGGGGACGCGGGTGGCGCTGTGGGTAAAACCTCAGTGCCTAGGGCTTGCCGATCGCATGGTCAGCGGTTTGAATCCCTGCGGCGGGGTGAGCTCCCATCTTTTGGTCCCAGCTCCTGCCCACCTAGCAGTTCGAAAGCACCCTTAAGTGCAAGTAGATAAATAGGTACCGCTTTATAGCGGGAAGGTAAACGGCGTTTCCGTGTGCTGTGCTGGTGCTGGCTCACCAGAGCAGCTTCGTCACGCTGGCCACGTGACCCGGAAGTGTCTCCGGACAGCGCTGGCCCCCGGCCTCTTAAGTGAGATGGGCGCACAACCCTAGAGTCGGACACGACTGGCCCGTACGGGCAAGGGTACCTTTACCTTTACCTTTTACCTCTCTTTTAGTTCATTAAAACCAGGTTCCAGTTTTGTAAGTCACCGGCCATTTCCTTTTAAGGTCTACTTTCTGTTTCCTTAAAGTGACAGGCACAACTTGTATAGGATTAATCTATTTAGAACACTAAAAAACCCATGAATCTTCCAGATTCCACTGTTTCCATGGTGGTGGCAGTAGATGCAGAGCCATCAGGAGGAGCCTCATGAGCCACCAGCAACAGCCTCCTCCACCCCCTCGGCCACCACCCCCTCTATACTTCCCCTCCCTCTATGACCGAACCACACAGAGTACCACTCTTGCTGATTGCAGCCTTTGGAGGAAGCTCTTTGTGCCACTGCGAGGAGGGGAAACAGGGTCAGCTGGGCCTCAGAGACCTCCACCTGGGCTTGGACTCCTCCCACCCGCCAATGAGCGCTGCTGCCCACCCCCCTGGCCAGCTGGTCTGGCCCCCATCCCCTATGAGCCATTGCGCTTCTTCTGTCCTGCTGCTGACAGCACACCCCAGCGTGGAAGTGGGGCACATCAGCAGCAACAGCCAGAAGGAGAGATCTGTGAGCTTGGCATCCGCCTGAAGGAGCTGGAGCTGCTGGCACTCACTGGGGACGGCTCAGACCCACAGCAATGTGAGTAATCCAAAGGCTGAGATCCCAAAGCCTCTTTGTACAACCCCACCAAATATCCCTGAGGCTCTCTTGGTCTTGTACCATAATGATCCAGACATGTACCCTAACCATCCAGCCCAATGTCTTAAATGTAATACACATGAAAGATTTGGGGACATTGAACATGACATCTTACCCCTGCAATCCAGATTTTGAACTATTATACACCCTTTTCTTTCTTAGGTCCCCCACACACAATAAGCTTAGATAAAGTCACTTATTTGTTCTTTTCCTAAGATTACTTAAGCTTGTTGATCTGAAGTTGTTGTTTTTTTGAAGTGACAAACAGGGTTTCTCCATCCCACCCACCCCACCCTTAACATTCTATAATAAATCAGTAAAGAGATATTCCGCATTGGTCCAACCTACAGCAGAACTTGAAAGACCCATTGATAAAAATACATACCAAGTCACTCTCTACACAGACATCTTCTATGGATGCAATTAAATGACCTGACATTTCTTATTGTTATTCTAATAACACATTTAAATGCCCTGAGAAACATTCTAATGCATCATCCGAGTGTTTTGGCCAAGAGATTGTAGCAGTTTCAAAACTGGTTTTCATTTTGTAAAAGTCCGGTTTGCTAATCTGAGAAAATATTTTAGAACCTCTTCCAGGTATTTGTGCAAATGAGCAATAGGCTCACCCCAGAAATATTGATGACCATTTCAGATACCAACCTGGAGGTCTTGCACAAGAAATAGTCTTAAAGGCTTTAACGTTAAGATGTGGGTGGTTTGTTGTGGCAAGCAAGCAGCCCAGGTGAGCTGTAGAGGTTTAGTGAGATCTGAGGGGAGAGCAGGAGGGAGGGGTGGCTTTGGTCAAGGGTGTGGATGGAGGTGGGAGTAGATGGGGTTGGTGAGTGATGCAAGCAGGGAACAGCCCCTTGTGTGTCTGTATGTGGATAAATAGATATGGATGGGCACTTTATTTAATTTTAATGTTTCTTGTTATTTCAATTTTACTTTGCAAACCATTTTAGTCTAAGACACAGTTTCTCAGCCTGGTAAATGTGTGAAAATGTAGTCTATCCACCAAGGTTCTTACACAAATGAATGAAATAGGGACTGTAAAGACTTTGAGACACTTTGGTCCTATACTAATTAATATGAAGATAGATAATGACTTTCAGTAGATACGGGTAGAGCAGAAAAAAGCATTATAAAATCTCTTGAATGGAGCCAATACTTGTATAAACAAGGAGTGCATGCTGTATGGAATATAGCAATAGACATGCATAGGATCAGGTTACTCTGTGTATTTATCTGTGGAGACAGTGGTTGTGGGGATCACAGGATGCAGGGGCAGATTTAGGGCTGTGTGAGCGGTGCACACACTGGGCACTGAGCTGAGGGAATGCTGTCTCAAAGCCAGGTAAGAAAGGCGCTGGGCTTTGGCACACAGGGTGCCGATGTACCCAGCTCCACCACTGCCGGATTGTTTGCATTTCTTTAAGTGAAATAATGCACATCAAAATCTCAGGCTAGGAGAGACCGTAATGTCATTAAGTCCAGGGTCTAAAATTACCTGGCTGCACCACTGATAATGACTATTTACTTTATAGTAATATTTATATTTTATTGAAGTGATTTCAATTAAAAGAAATAAAGTGATACACAAAAAAGAAGGAAAGGTGAGGGGGAGAAAAAAGAACAACAGATACATAAAAAGTGTGTGCACATGCATGCACGTGTGCAAAAATGCAATATATTATATTTGCATACATTCTTATATATATTTATATATATTTACACATAGTGCTGGACTATGATCCATGAGATCCAGGTCCAAATCCCTACTGGGCCATGAAGGTTGTACTTTAATATTGATACATCAAAGGTCAGTATTAATCAGGAGTTGTGTGCTAGGTTTTTACATTCTTTCCTCAAAGGACTGCACATCTGGATTGTGGTTGATGACTAACATATGTCATGTTCCATCCCTGTTTCTAGATAAGCTTCTGAAGGCACTGAAAGATGAAAAGACGCAAGATGTAATGACAGGACTGACTCTGAAGAAACATTTGCCAGCATCATGAGGGCTATTTACGTCTAGCCTCACCTTCTTCTAATGGACTCATTTGTATTATGCACGCTTCTAATGACTCTTCCTTTTTAATCCTACACTGCCGAAGTGGAAATTTCCAACTTATTCTTCAATTAGCATTTTGTACATTTCCCCAATACTAATATACATTTCAAATACAAAGTTTCAAGTTTGCAATTTTTCAACAGATAACTGTGTGCTGTTGACATCGACACCAACATCCTGTTTGTTTCAGATCTCTGACTGCGCCATTCATGACAGTGTCATGGACTGGCTGGACACAGAGGAGTGGTGGGAGGCACCAGCTTGGGAACTCCCAAGGGAAGAAGGCTCAGAGCCTGGGAGTTGTGGTGGGACAACAAGGAGTGGTCAGAGGGAGAAGACTGGGGGGAGGAGAAGGAGGTGCCTGAAGCTGAAGAGGTTACAGGGTTTAGTGAGGAGGAAGAGGCTGTGGCAGAGAGCAGCCCAGAATCAGAGGCAGAGCTCAGGCAGGCTACTGAAGAAGCCAGGGAGTCTCCCTCTCCTGCTGCAACCAGCTCCCCTCCTCCGCTGGTTTCCTAGAACCCAAAGAGGTATGAAGAGGGTAGAACAAAGACAGTAATGGTGGAGAAGTCTCAGGTTCCTTGGGAAGGACCTGGGGAAGGAGAAGAGTTAGAGAGCTGTAGGAAGGCAGGGACCTTCAGTCCTCGCAACCGCTTCATTGGGGCAAGACCTACTGGGAAGAGTTGTTGTGCTCACTAGGCCTGAGCTGTTTTGTTTCTTTGAATAAAGAGTTAATTTCACTGGCACCTTGTGAGTTATTGCTGACCTGCCCCTGACTCCCACCTCTATGGTATGCAGTGCAGTTCTAAGTATAAAAGAAAAGGCTCCAGTTCCTCCTGTCTTATATATCCTCTCCACTGTATTCAAATCCTCTTCGGAGAGCCGGTGTGGAGTAGTGGTTAGAGTGCTAGACTTGGACGTGGGAGATCGGTGTTCTAATCCCCACTTGGCTGTTAAGCCCACTGGGTGACTTTGGGCCAGTCATTGTCTCTCAGCCTGACCTACCTCACAGGATTGTTGTGAGGGTATTAATGGAGAGGAGAAGAAGTTAGCTCTTTTGAGAAGAAATGCACTAAAAGCAATAATAGCGATAATAAACAAAAACCACATAATTTCTATGCAGTTGGTTGCGGGGAGGGGAGTGAGTGATATGGCAGAGATGGTGCATGTGCTGCCTCCTCCTCAGAAGTAAGCCCTATTCACTGCAAAGGGACTTCCCCCCCAGGTAAAAGAGTTCCACAGCACAGGGAGGGGTGCCAGAAATGAACAACAGAGGAAGCAGGAAGAAGTTGAGGCAGGCAGGAGTGAGGGAAATGTGACCTGCTTATGGGGAGTAAAAAGCATGGGAAATAACAAGACAAGGCAGGCATAGTGATATGCCAAAGACATGTTCAGGGGAAAGCATATCAGGAAAACTTTTGGGTTGGGAGAAAAGTTGGGTTTTGCTACAGGACATCTGAAATGTGAGCAGATGAGGGAACCCTCACCCCAAAATGCAGGAACAGGCAGCGTTGGAAGTGAGATTTTGGGTAGTGCCAATGGGGCCATGGAGAATTCTCATTTTAAAAGATGTACTTTATCCACTAGATGGCAGTATGCAACAATATTTATACATTTGGAAAATGTTACAATATTTTTTAACCAGGTGAGATGGCCTGTTCTAACCTTTCCTCCATTTATGAAACATTTCAAATCAACATCTTATATTCCACATCACCTCTTTCACTAGCAACAAAACAATCTGCCAAACAGCTGTAATCTGACACTTTAGGATTGATTAGCTGCAGAAATGCCACTGAAAATAGTTTTAACATGCCTGAGGATCTGCATGACCCAACAGCTGCTGTCTTCATCTTGGAATTGGGTCTAGAAGGTGGCCTTGTGGCTTGCAACATCTGGACTAATTTTTAGTCTTTATTTTTATTTTATTATAATTTTTTACTTTACCTCTTCTCCCCATCCCCTGCTTTGTATTTGGTGAAGAATTCTGCATGACTCAAGAACTTGCCAATATTTTGTGAAATTTCAGCTGGTCCTCATAAAAGGTATTGCCCTACTGTGGATGTTGTTGTTAAAAAACTACTTGCCAAAGGGAGGGGAGGCATTACAGGACAATGATATAGAACATTTCTTCCTTCCATCTCCTCCCCAATTACTTGCCCTGCTCAGGAAGAAGAGAAAAAGAGTTTGGATTTGATATCCCGCTATATCACTACCCTAAGGAGTCTCAAAGCGGCTAACATTCTCCTTTCCCTTCCTCCCCCACAACAAACACTCTGTGAGGTGAGTGAGGCTGAGAGACTTCAGAGAAGTGTGACTGGCCCAAGGTCACCCAGCAGCTGCAGGTGGAGGAGCGGAGACGCGAACCCCGTTCCCCAGATTACGAGTCTACTGCTCTTAACCACTGCACCACACAGGGCAAACATCATAAACACCAACCTTTGGCAGGGAAAGATCTCTCTGCTGAAGATGCTGGGCCCCATCTGCACTACACATGTAAAACAGCGTCATATCACTTTAAACAGTTATAGCTTCCCCCAAAGAACGCTGTAAAGTTAAACATGCTGAGAGTTGTTATAAGGCCCCCCTTCCCCTTGGAGAGCTACAATTCCCAGAGTGGTTAACAATCAACCCCTATTCCCAGAAAATTCTGGGAATTGTAGCTGTCTGGGGGGAATGGGGTGTCCTAGCAACTCTCAGCAGCCTTAAAAAAACTACAGTTCCTAGAATTCTCTAGGGGAAGCTATAACTTTTTGTATTATAAGTGGTATGATACCGCTTTAAATGTGTAGTGCAGATGGGGCAATACTGGGCTAGGCAGGCAAATAGTCTGACCTGATAGAAGGCAGCTTCCTACATTCCTCAGGTGCTCAGCTCATGAAATTTTGCATCCTTGACCAGGAACATCAGGTGTGGCAGGGCAGAGCTACCCTCCTGGCAGCTGCATTGCTGCAATTTATGTGGGTGGGGCAAGGACAGGGGCAAGGTCAGGGCTGTGGAGATTCACTAACGGAGTCAATCCAGCACTCTCACTGGTGGATCCAGGCATCCCTAACCCTTGCCACCACCCTGCCCACATAAGCTGCAGAAACTTGGGAGTTAAGAGAGTGGCGTCATCTCCACCACACCAACCGTTAGTGGAGTGAGGTTCTGGAACGGAAACTAGGATTCTGGCATGAAGAGGCAATGGCTACTCCACTGTTTCTAACGGAGTCAAATGCAGGATTAGAATTGTGTGTCTAGATAGGGTTGCTACACACGGAGGGAGAGAGAGAGAGAGAGAGAGAGAGAGAGAGAGAGAGAGATTAGCAGATGCCTCACATAAGGACATAAGAAGAGCAGTGACCAGAAGGCCAGCAAAATTAGTTCCTACTGACTGGTTCTCATGTGAGACAAGACACAGATATTCTCTGTTCCCTAATATGAAGCTGAGAGCTTCTGGACAGAGCCCTGCAGACACACCTTTCTTATAATCCAGTTAAACCACTCATTCCAAAACACAGCAGGGTAGGAGTAACTGAGCAACTCGGACAAAGCCCGTTGTTGTTGTTGTTAACAACAAGGAGGCACAGGGAGGCATTTAAAGCACCCGTTGTCTGTGGCTCAGCTTGCATGAGAGAAAATGGTTGGCAGTCTCCACTATGAAAATGGCAGGGCTTCATTGTTGCCTTAATTGCTACCTTCACTGGGAAGATGAAGAGAATTAAAGAGCACAGTAGAGGCCTATGTTCAGGGAGCTGCACCCCAAGCATATGTCTATATTATTCACTTAGAAAAAATTATAAACCACCTAACCAGGAAGAATCTCCAGGCACTGTAACGTGTTATAAAACAATTGTCAACAAGGAAAATAAGTAAAATTTAAAATCCAAATAAAAGGTAAAGGTACCCCTGCCCGTACGAGCCAGTCTTGACAGACTCTGGGGTTGTGCGCCCATCTCACTCAAGAGGCCGGGGGCCAGCGCTGTCCGGAGACACTTCCGGGTCACGTGGCCAGCGTGACAAAGCTGCATCTGGCGGGCCAGCGCAGCACACAGAACGCCGTTTACCTTCCCGCTGGTAAGCGGTCCCTATTTATCTACTTGCACCCGAAGGTGCTTTCGAACTGCTAGGTTGGCAGGCACTGGGACTGAGCAACGGGAGCGCACCCCGCCGCGGGGATTCTAACCGCCGACCTGATGATCGGCAAGCCATAGGCGCTGAGGCTTTTACCCACAACGCCACCCGCGTCCAAAATCCAAATACACCATACTAAATTGTGTGTCTAGGTAGGGTTGTTGAAACATATTTTCCTTTTCCGTTTTGAAGGTGTTTAGTGTAAGAGCGTAAGAGCCCTGCTGAATCAGGCCCAGGGCACCCTGTTTTCACAGTAGCCAAGCAGATTATTATGGGAAGGCTGCAAGCAGGACCTGAGTACAACAACACTCTTTCTACCTGTGATTCGTAGGAAGTGGTATTCAAAGGAATGGTGCCTCTGACAATGGAGGGAGAAGACACACATTGCAGCCACTGATAGCATTGTCCTATGTGATACCTAAAGCAGCAAAACAAGGGTGCGTGCCTAATGTAAATATTAATACCCACCAGGGTGAAGGAAGGAAGAGCCCTTTGCCAAGTCTTGCATAGTCAGGGTTGCATAATACAGAGGAAAACAAGGAACAGAAAATATACTAGCGGCCTGATGAGATCCCCCAGATGAACCTCCAAGGCTTTCTTGCCCATCCCTACTTTAGAGAGAAAATTTCACATAACAACCGGGGACAAGGGCACCAATTCCTATCCCACATTTTTCAATTATGCTTGTCAGAGTGTAATTGTCAGGTACAATTTATCCTCATCCTGGAATGCATTCTTCTAAATTGACCCATCTATCTAAAGTGTAATCAGAGAAACACCATTTAGAGAAAGATTGAGCTTGTAGACTTTTTTTTTTTTTTAATAGCAACATTC